TCAATCTTTAGCTTCCCAAGCATGCTTTTGGATCAAAGGATAAATTTTATGCATTGCAGGTTCTGAGCTGGAGGTAGATATGAGAGAAGTCGGAACAGAATTAATCATATAACTTGAATGAATACCTTAAAGAGTGCTTGACTGAATTCCCTGACTTCTGACTGAGACATGTTTCATTTCAGACCCCGGATGCATAAACAATACTGGTTGCATTTTCACAGACCAGATGGACTGTCTGGTTCAATGTGCTGCTCAGACAGTAGCCCATGGAAGATTCTGTGGGAAGAATCTCCTGGATGATGTTATGGAAAGGAGATACTTCCCCAGTACTCTCTAGGACTCGGTCATCAGTGATTTTCTGGCCAAGAGATGGTATCTTTCTATAAAAATAGTGTTAGTGGCTCTTGCTTCTGTGAGTTTGTCTATTCATTTTTGAACCCCTGTAAATTTTTGGCGTCCTTACCTTCCCGTAGTAAGAAGGCATCCACAGTTTAATTACGTGTTATGAGAAAAACTACATCCTTCTGTTTGTTTTAACCTGGCCACCTGATGATTTCATCTGGTTTTTCCTATGTCTTATATCATGAGAGGTGAGTAATGGTTCCCTATTCTCCTTCTCCCTGAAGCTCATGATTTTATAGAAGTTTTTCATATTCCCTTCAGCTGTCCTTTTTCCAAGCTGAAGAGTCCTTATTTATTTAGTCATTCCTCAATATATAAGCTGTTCCATACCTTTGATCGTCTCTGCAGCATTTCTTTGTACTGTTTCCAGTTCTAGTGTAAGCTTTTTCAGAAGGGAGGAGGGACAGGGGTTAGAACTATCCTCAGAATGCAAGAGATGGATGCAATTTTGGTATATATGCTAGCAGAGTAGTTCTTGGTTTTGTTCCCTATGCCTTTTGTAATAATTCCTAACACTGAGTTTGATTTTGAGAGTATTGTAGTGATGTTTTCATAGAAAAATCTATTATAGCTGTAGTTAATAAGGTCTCCTTTCTGAACAGAAATAACTAGTTCAAGTCCATCACTGCATAAAACTAGAATTGTGTTCCCCTGGGTACATGACTTTGTAGTTATTAAATTGAATGTCATATACCAATTTAACATCTGATCATTCAATAACGTGATTTTTTTTCACACTTCTTGGTGACTTTCAGTTTTTCAGCAGCAAGCTTTTTTTTCATTTCACTCTTTTTTTTTTTCCCTCAGATCGCTTAAATGTTTTGAACAGCAGAGACTGTAGCACAGGTTTTTGTGGGACTCCAGATCTCCTTCCATTGTGGAAACTGTCCATTTATTCTAGCTCTGGTTTCATGTGTTTTAACTAGTTATGAAATCCATGAGTGGTAACCCCTATATCCTGCACTGGCTTTATTTATGAGCATTTTGAATGAACTTGCCAAATTTTCTGAACTGTGAAATTGCTGGTTTGAAAAAGTTACTCTGAGCAAATGGACAAATACAATTGTTTAGTTCAAAACAGGTATCGAAGTTCATAATCTTTCCATAGTCCTGATAAGAATTAATCAGGCTATTTACTGAGCACTGACATGACTTTGATGGAGCTCCTGAATGTTCTTCAGCTTAGTATCTGGTGCAGCTGGTGCTTGTTTCAAGGGCTGGTCTGCGATAACCCCCAGCTATCTCTCAAAGGGTGCACCCCAGTCCCAGCACAGTCCTTTGTGCTTTTCATCTCTCAGGGGTGTAACAGAGACTCCAGCTGCTTCACACAAGGGAAAAATCTGCTGAGCTTTAACATCAGACAGGATGGTGGAGTCTGTATCCATGCAGTGGAAGGAGCAGATGCTACCCTTGGGATAGGAATTGAGTCCAGGTGACAGCAACCTGCTTATAAGGTTCGAGGGAGGTGATTCTGCCCCTGTACTCTGCTCTGGTGAGACCCCACCTGGAGTGCTGCGTCCAGCTGTGGAGCCCTCAATATCAGAAGGATATTGACCACTTAGAGTCCTGAGGAGGCCACGAAGATGATCAGAGGGCTGGAGCACCTCTGCTATGATGAAAGGCTGCGAGAACTGGGCTTGTTCAGCCTGGAGAAGAGGAGGCTCCGAGGAGACCTCATTGCAGCTTTCCAGTATCTGAAGGGGGCCTACAAGGGTCCTGGGAGACGACTTTTTACAAGAGCCTGTAGTGACAGGACAAGGGGTAACGGGTACAAATTGAAAACAGGGAGGTTTAGATTAGATATCAGGAAGAAATTCTTCATGGAGAGGGTGGTGAGGCACTGGAACAGGTTGCCCAGAGAAGCTGTGGATGCCCCATCCCTGGAAGTGTTCAAGGCCAGGTTGGATGTGGCTTTGAGCAACCTGGTCTAGTGCAAGGTGTCCCTGCCCATGGCAGGGGGGTTGGAACTAGATGATCTTTAAGGTCCCTTCCAACCCAAACCATTCTATGATTCTATTATTCTATAACCTATGTGGTGAGCTGGTGGGATTGGAGAGGAGACTGCTGGGATCATTTCAAAGATTCCTTGTGCTTTGTCATGTCCTCCTTTTAAGTTATGCTTTTTGTGGCGTCCTATGCCCTGTGGGGGACAGTGCTGAGAAGCCAGCAGCACACACACATCCATGGATCCAGAGCTGAGCAACTGCAGGTAAAACCACAGTAGTAGAGGATCATGACCCCATTACTGGGGCAGAAGGGAGAAGGCACGTTCAGAAAAGGGAAGCACCTGTTCCAAGGTTAACCATAAAGCCTGAATCAGACCTATGCAACTTGGGTTTCAAGGTCTGAGTACTGTCGGCAACATTACAGTTGTCACCTTCCAAGCACTGATGAAAGGAAAAGAACTGAAAGACTGAGAATCCTGTAGCAAAAGGGAAGAGGGAGTCAGAGTCATTTATCTAGTGTTGCACTGGGGTACAATGGAAGCAAAGGACTGAGGAAGCGTGGGTGGGATCCCTTGAACAGAGAAGTCTAGAGAAGGCTACCTACAGCCAGTGGCCCACAAAACAGAAGTGGTAGTGGTGCATCAAGCAGGAGGAGGCCCAGAGGATGCAGGGTGGAGACAGTGGCAGCTGAACTCCTCTTCCACTGGGATGTCCTACTCCTCAGTGGCTGAGGAGCTGAGTATGGAGAGGGACCCTTTAGTGTTCAGAGTCCTTATCCTCAATTTGCTTTGAAAGGGATGCGTTAGGTTAGTTTTGAGGGAGAGAGTGCACAGGGCTGGCAATTATTTCTGGGGTTGTTTGAAACATCCTTCTGAATTTTTTAAGGATTTGCTGGGATGAAGAAGTTTATAGGGGAAGGTGCAGCACATTCAAAGGAAGCTGTGACATATTCTAGTAGAACGTGTCCCTGTCCATGACAGGGGAGTTGGAACTAGATGATCTTTAAGGTCCCTTCCAACCCAAACCATTCTGTGATTCTATGTTCAGAGTCTAGGTGGTAAATTTTGATAGGATCCTGAAGCAAGGAGATTGCAGTTAACTCCCTTGCCAAAACCATGACCTACACTCCAAATCATGGCATGAAATGTAAAAGACAGAGAGTATCTTTTACATCCCAGTTACTTATGCATAGGAAATAGAAGGTAAGTCTGCCTGGGAATCCAAAGGAAGTATTTGGAAAAGAGAAACGTGACAGAGATCAGCAGAGACTTGGGGAGCTCAGGCATTGAGCCTTGAAGGTTTTATTAGCCAGAGTGTCAGGATTCAGTGGGTCATATGGCATCCTGTCTTGTGGAGCACAGGGTACGTGAGTTACTGGCCACTGTAGCTTCTCCAGGACACCGTATGGCCCTGTCAGTCTGCCAGCTGCTCTCTGCAAAGCCCCTTGGCCTTGCCCAGAAGTGTGTTGGTGCTGTGTTCTCGCTGAGGCTTGCAAGCTTCAAAGCAAGCCAGTGAGCTCCTGTCGGGACTTATCATATTGCAGGCCACAGCTGAACTCCCACCGTATAAGCCTGGGTTGTAAGGGTTCCTGCTGCTTTGCAGGAGGCCTTTTCTCTTCTGGGAAAGGCTTGCATTACTTTGATGAAAGAAATGAGCCTATCTTCAGTCCCCTCTGGTCTTTTGGTTGTACCTGTATGGAGACAGCACGTGCCCTAGTTACAACCTCAACCTACCTGTCCTTTATCCTCCTGTGGATATTGTACTGTGTGTCCGTCTTCTATTCCACTCTCACTGCAGGATGTGTGTGCTTAGAATCATAGGATCTTTTAGGTTGGAAAAGACCTTTAAGATCATCAAGTCCAACCGTCAACTGGTTTTAATTAGTAATGGAGACATAAGCACAGGAATCCTGATCAAGTAGCTTCTCCTTCGCCTCAGCTAGGCTTATAGCACAGGCATATCTTTAGGCGTAACCAGATCCTCAATGCTTTTTCAGTGCCATTGTCATCTCCTCATCACTCTCTCTTTCCTCAGCACCAACACTGTTATGGCTGATGGTAAGTTTGTGTTGATGTATTAACAAAATCTCTACACATCCAAATAAATAATTATCTTATTAGTGATGAGAGTCCTTAGCTCTTTTCCTGCACTCCCCCTCCCCAAACCTCCCCAGCCACAAGCCTGCTCCAGTTTAGAATTTTTCTTCTCTTTTCCTTTGTTCTCCCCAAGCTTGCTGTTACAGCTAGTAATACAGTCCCTGGAATTCAAGAAACTCCATAGCAAGGTGGCAGTTGGCACATCTAGCAGGTGTTGTGCTTGCTGGAGCCACTTACTACAAATTCATGTAATTTGTAGGCTAAGTATTAAGGGTGTTTTAGGAAGTGCTCCAGTTTAGAATTTTTCTTCTCTTTTCCTTTGTTCTCCCCAAGCTTGCTGTTACAGCTAGTAATACAGTCCCTGGAATTCAAGAAACTCCATAGCAAGGTGGCAGTTGGCACATCTAGCAGGTGTTGTGCTTGCTGGAGCCACTTACTACAAATTCATGTAATTTGTAGGCTAAGTATTAAGGGTGTTTTAGGAAGCAGCAGTGCCTTGTAAGAAACAGTACTTGTATGCAGAGTTGTGAAAGCTTGATGGCTTTTCTTTTCTCAGGGCTTCAGAGAATCATCGTTTTGCCTGGGAAGGAGAGTTGGAGAACAGCGTCTACAACAAGGTGACAGAGAGTCCACTGGCACATCCCAACTATCAGCTCCATTTTGCTGTGCAGCAACTTCAGCAGCAGAAACTTCAGTCACAACAGTTGTTGGAGCAAAGCCAAGCCCGGCACCAGGTAACTAAATAAAAATCCTGCCTGAGATGTAGCTGGGATGTGCTGACGTAAGATGTGCAGAATCAACCCAGAGCCAGTACATATGGCACAGCTTTGTAAACGAAGTAGCTTTTCAAGTGGGTTGCAACAAAACTAATATTACCTGCAGTGTTTTTGATAACATTTTGATGCTCTAATTCCCAGTGGCTCTTCCACTGCATTAGCATCCTCCTCCATTTGGCTACTGGCATGCTGCTGCTTGCTTTTCTGCATCAGTTCATGGCAACCCCCTGTAGTGCCTCAGACAGCCTTAGAACTGTTCGCAGCCTCCACAGTTCTTTGTCACTTCATCTTCTCCCTGATGATATGTTCCTGCTTTGATTTGAATTCTTCTCGGGCAGTGCTTCAAGCTGGATCACTGTTGTATTTCAGTGTCCCTAAACACAGGATCTTGAAATTATGTTGGCAACTGTGTCCTCTGTGGCAAACAGACCCCATCATGACTGAATTCTCCTCCTCCTGGATGTTTTCTCATACAATGCAGTTGTCAGAAGAGCAGTACATTAAGGGGACTCAAAAATTGTTTAGGAGAATCTTCATTCTTTTGAAGAAATGTATTACTAACTTCTAAGAGCCTTCAGTGTGCAGGAGGCATGGCCACTGACCCTGATGCCAGATGCAACCTTTCTCTGCAACACTGAAAATCTTCTCCAGGCCTCCTCCACGTTTTGTTATTACTACATTTAAGATAGCCTTTCACTGCTTTGCAGAGAACTGTCTGATGGATACATGACACCTTGGTTACAATTGCAAGGAGAATAGATGGGCTAAGTGTCCACGAGCTAGTGAAAAAACGAAAAAGAGTTTGTATTATTGATATTCCCGATGACACCTAGATGCCAAGCATGGACCACTCTGTCTGGAACAGCATTTCCATCCTGCCTGAGGAACCTTCCAAGGTTACAATGAATTCATTGATGCACCTGTTACCCTTCCTTGTTATTATGGAGAGAGAGGTGTGTTCGTTCTTCTGAATGATGTCCAAAAGGCTTCCCTGCTGAAGGGGAAGTCTTTGGGTGAATAAACCTTCACTCAAAAGAGATTGGTCTTATTATGAAGGAGCTATTTGCTGGGCTGGCAGGACTGGACTCCAACAAAACCATGAACAGAGCTAACATGCAGAGGTGTTTAACACCACTCTCCCTCCTGTGCAGCAGATGAGTCACTAGTCAGGGTTCTTGAGAATAGGTTATAGGCAAATTGCCCTCATCCTTTTCTGGGAGCATCTTGAAGGAAAGGCCCTTCTGCCTTTGCTTCTTTCAAGGCCCTCACTTAGCCAGTGAGGCTGCAGTTTCCATCCCTGAATTCTCTCACCTACAGTCTTCTCGAATCTCCTCTGAGCAGGAGGTCTTCCTTTCATCTCCATCCAAGGGGCTCTGGGTGGGCAGCTGTGGCTGCTCATGAGTTCAGGAAAGGGCTGTAAGCTGGCTTGTGCCTGTGAGGAGGCTGGAGCTGGCCATGGGGCCTGGCTGAGCCCTCTTCTAATTGCTGACATTGAGCTGATGTTATTCTTGGCCTGGGGCAGAGCAATTACTCAGGAGTTTCTGTTAAAGTGATTCTTTGTTAAACCTCCTCTCACCCCCACAACGTCCCCCTCCTTTCTCTCCCTCCCTTCTCCTTCGGAGCCAAGCAGTTTGGAGTTGCAGTATTGAGGCCATTGCCATGCCGCAGGGCTCAAGCTGCACCGAAGGTGCTATTAATGAAGAAAGGTATTTGCTGAACACGGGGGCTTTCAGACTTTCTGTAGTGAAAACCACATCTTAATAAAATGATTGTCTCTTGAACACTTCCTCTCCCACTAGACATGGTATAGTGCCTTTTTCTGCTGGCCATCATTTGTCCTCTCTTTTTCCCCACAGTTGTAGCTTAGCCCAGCCTGCATGGCTTTACCACATTTCCTAGTTGGTGTCACCTAAGCCACCTATCTCCTGTTGAAAAAATACTGAGTTCTACTCCAACCTTAGTTCTCTTGCCTGCTACATTCAAGTTCCTCAGTCTCCTCTCAACAGAAGAAATATGTCCCCAAAACTAGAAGGCCTATCACTTGAAAGTGTCATGATCTCTCTGCTTTGGGGAATGCATGCAAGTGATCTCCAAGCCTGTTCCATCTGACTGTTCAAGTTCCTGTTACAGTTGGAAGGCAGCCTAGCCATTTGTTGGGAGCTGAAGTGCATTTATTAATATATCTCAAGGCACACCCTGCATATGGCATGACCATACAACATGCCTACATGCCAGTCCTTCCTTCTCTCCGTGACTAATGGACTAGTCATATATATATGGATCGCATGCGAACAAGTAACAGAAGCACCATGATTAATAACACAGGCAAATGCTTCTGTCTGTGCATTAACCAGTTGGGTATGTCAGAGATAAGATGGATGTGTTGGAAAGCACCAAAGTTCCTAGTCAGGTATTTGTGTAACAGGAATACCCCCATCTGCCATGCAGTGGATGTATCTTATCATGAAGGCTTATTGCGTGGCAGCACCCGCTCTTGGTTGAGCACTTTCCAGACACTTAAGAATGATGATTTCTCCTCCAGGCATTTAACAATTTGCAGAGTAGCAAATACTGTGTAGGTGGAGGAAGAGGAATAATAACCAACAATTTTCACTCATTGTATGTGGAAGTTAGCTCAGCCTGCATAGTACAGTGGAAGTAGATCTTTGATGCCAGAATAGGTACTTATTTCCCTGGACAAAAAGGAAAACACAAAACTGACTAGATGAGAATCTAACAAAGAAATGGATGCAGTGATAGGGCCCAGGAATAGACACAATACAGAGCCTGAGAAAAGAGAAGAAATAGAAAGGAGCAGAGTTTGAAAGTGGAGACAAGAAGCTTAAATTTGATATCAACAAAATCAAGGAACAAGAATTACAAAATCAAACCAAGAGACAAGAAAAACAGGCTTCTAGCAGTATTTTTCATGTTTAAAGGAGACTTTATGTGACACGTTATGACCTAGATGTTAGTATCACTGCTGCAGTTGGCAAGGCAGTTAATATACCATCATTGTTTATTCTCTAATTGCTTCCTGTACTGGAAAGATGCCATGAGCTGTTAGGGAGGTTCCTCCTCCTCTGCGTGGCTATGTTCTGTCTGCTTAGCCTAGCATCTACTGGGTTTAGAATTTTATGCCAAACATTTCACATGGGAAAAAAGCTAAATTAAAACAAGAAAAGTACAGTCATATAGTGGAATGATCCCCATCAGTCCTGCTTATATCAAAAAGCTGATGTTAAACAAGACATAAATCATGCTGATGAGTTGTGTGGTCAGTTATGGTCACATTTTCCATCAAAAGTTTAAGTAGATTTTATGCTATAAAACATTGGGCTAAGTTAATCCTTAAATAATTCTCCTCTCAATCATTTAAAAATGGTACATTTGCTGAAATAGTCCACATTTTATGAAGTTCGGCAAAATTATTTTCTTTTAATGTATGTTACTCTCTTCTGAATTCCCTGTTTATTTAGATCTGACTGGGAAGGTTGAGTATTCAGAGTAATATTCCTAGTATTCCTAGAACTACATTATTCCTGCCTGAGGACACAGGGCCTCTTTGAATGCAGCCTTAAACATCATTAAACTGTTTTCTAAACTATTATATATTGGACTGCTGTCAAATTTTCAGTCTGTCTTCTCCTTCAGTTTCTTGTTCGTTCTTGTTTTTAAGCTTTCTCCCTCAGATTGTTTTCCCACTAAATGTGCTAACTGCCATTTTTCCTATTTGAGTCTTGTGATACTGATGAGTCAAAGTCTCAAAGCAGAACAACTGTTCTGAAAGCAGTAGTCTGTGCTGATTTATACCAGCTGAAATTTTGTCCCCATGTTTCTGATCCTGTCACTATTATTAGAATTGTGGCAATGCCCAGATGTATTAAGTATCTTTCCAATACAATTATATGACCCAATCCTTGCCCCAGAGAGCTCCCAGCACCAAAAGAGAGACAAAGGAAAAGACACCAAGTCAACTTATTTTAGAACATTTTAGTCTTGTTCTGAAGAATTTGCCAAGGGAGACATGATCAAGACAGTGCGTACCATGAATTTGCTCCTCTTTAAATTTCTTGATGACCCCAACATGCTACTCTTGCTGCATTTTAACACCAGGCTGGATGAGGCTTTGAGCAACCTGGTCTAGTGGAAGGTGTCCCTGCCCATGGCAGGGGGGTTGGAACTAGATGGTCTTTAAGGTCCCTTCCAACCCAAACCATTCTATGACTATGGCAGTTAGTAGTGCATTTTCAGCCTGTCCTTTATCACCACTTCGTAAATTTTCAACACAACTGATTGTTGCATCCAAAGTGATATAACTGAATGCATTAATACGTGTTCAAAAGAATCTCCACTGAACAATTTATATGACCCCAAAGGTCTTCTGAACCTTTTAATTCTCTGTATTTTTACAACATCATCTGAAATGCAGTTGCTTTTCTACAAGTGGTGGGTTTTATTTTGTTGGCTTTGCTTTTTTTTCTTAACTTAAATCCTTATCATTGTTTATTGCTTGTAAACATCTCAGTTTCCAGCAGTACTGATTTGGAACTGTCTGAGCAGATCTTCATGCAATACACGTGTGTGTGCATTTGCCTGTCAGTTCTCGTACACTGCTGAGTCTCATCATTTTCAGACTTGCTGATCCAAATTAAATTGAAAGACCATGGGATAGGAATCTCAAAGCTATGTTTCTTATACATTTCATGAAAATAAGAGCTGTTTATCTGGAAAGGTGTTTCAACTACTATTCCCATTAAGGGAAAGGCTGCAGCATGAGGCCACTCGTAATTAGACAGCAGAAAATCAACACAAGAATGCCCCAGACCCATGAAGGGGGAATAATCTGGGGCACGCTTTATATTAGAGAGTGTAAGATTCAGCCGCAAGGCAGATACACAGGAAATGAGCTTCGTTGCCTCTTCTGGTCACAGAATGAACATGTTTTTGCTTGCAACGTTTGTTCTGTTACTGTGCTAGGGATGGGTGTTAGATTCAGGGATGGTAAGTGCCAGGAACATTCTTTCTGTTTTTGAAGATCATTAATATATCTGCTTTTCTTCAAAGTACTACAGGACCTCCCTGCTTTTAATTGTAAGCAGCCCGAGCTCAGCTGCTATGGCTAATACTTAGATGTGCATCATCCTTGCTGACAAGCTGTACACGTTAAGATTTTCTAATTAAAACCTACCATTTTTGTATAGATAACACCTTGTGTATGGTGTTCATGTGTAGATGTGGAAGCAAGGAGAGGTGTGATCTAATGAGGTAAATATGGGAGTGGGAGTAGGGATCTTCTCTGAGCACTCAACCTAGCTTTTCATATTGCTTCAGTTTGTGGCTTAGAGAAAATCACTGTCAGTGCTAACATTCCTTATGTGCAAGGCAGGGTTAATGCTGTCCTTCCTTGCCCGAGAATCAAGCAGGAGAATTAACTCGGTAATGCTTTACATGATTTTTAGCTAAAACATCTCATAGTTACTGTTGTGTTTTTCAGATTTGTAGCCCTAAGAACATGTCAGGGAAGCAAATGTCTCCTCAACGTCAAGTTAAATCTGCCAGCCTGGCAAGCATGGCTCAACGTGTTTTACTTGCAGCGACAGTAGTTGTAGCATGCTACCTGTTTCAGGACTGCCTCTGTCAGGGTTTGTCTCAGCTTCTGCTCTCCCTAGGCCCTGAGCCTTCAGAATCCTGAGTGATGAGGTCTGTCTCCTACTTTTTGGATGTGCTGAAATCTCTTCCCAACCCTTCCTTTGTGTGGTCAGGCTCTGCTCTTCCCAGCTGCCCTCTTTATTTGCACAGTAGCTTCTCCTGGTTTCCTGTCCTGTCCCCGTGGAGTTCACAGCAGGGCAGTATGCTTTGTAGCTGAATCCAGAAGCCATGGTCCGTGTCAGCTTCCAGTCTCTCCATCCTTGTCTGGAAGGCAGCCAGAATCTCAGCACAGCGTGGAGACAAAGGCCTTTTTGGAAGTCTGTAACCCCCAAGAACAACATCCGTGACCTTTCTTTAGGCAGGTCTCAGCCCAGCTTTTGATGATCAGACTTTGTTAGAGCATCCATCCTTGCTGTTTCTTCAGAGTCACGGACCTCCTCGGCAATGCATGTTAACACAGGGAAGGGGTTAGGACTCTATGCTTTGTGGGCTCCAGGATCTTAGTGTTTGTAATAACAAGAAAAAGAACTTACAGGAAATATACATAATATCAAACAGAGCACAAGGAATAAGAAGGGGATGCAGTGACTTGAGGGTCTCCATCCCAACCCTATGATGTGTCAGACTCTAAGATGCAAGACTCTAAGTTCCATTTCAGTTTGTTTGGCTGGGGGGTGGGGGTGGGGTGTGACTGCTCTTTCCCGGATTTCGGCACTTGTACCAGCTACTTACTCAAAACCAGTAAGCTGTGATCAAGGTAGAGCTTCAGGGAAGGGAGAGGTTAAGAAGGATTGGGAGCTCAGGGGCATCTTGTCAGTGAGCTGTAGTTAGGAAACAGGCCTGTTTTGGCTCCCGCACTTCCTTTTCTCCCTAGAGCTCTGCCTGTCAGAAACGCCTTCCTACACACCACTGCCTTGCCATTTGCCAGAGAATTGCGGGGGAGAGGGGCTTTTCCTGTCTGTGCGCTGAGACTCAGCCAGTCCTCAGACTGTGGTTTTCTCTGGAGCCTGGAGCCCACTCGCTGTGGCTTTTGTGTGTTTTTCACCAGAGACGAAGCTGAGGACAGGCGCAGGGAAGGGCACTGTTCCCAGGGTCACGGCGAGGTGACTGGCGAGTGCTCAGCTATTCCCCTCGTCTCCTATCGCTGACCCCTAGCTGCCAAACGAGGCGGTTATGGTATCGCCTCTTTGCCCTGGGAATCTGAGTGACTTCGAGGAAAGACAAGGCAGAACTCCCAGCAGGTTGCTCCTTTCTGAAAAGAGCTGAGCAGTTTGCAGAGCTCCCATAGGGAACCATTCCCCATTCCCTGCTTTGCTTAGTTCTCCAGTGCCTCACAGCATGCAGATTCTTTTGTTCCCTCTGACAAATCTCCAACATACTTACTCTCCCACCTGCTATAGGAATAGAAATATTTTCTGTTCCTGGGTATTACTGGGGATTTCCTTTTTGTCAGCTGCTGACCTAAAGTCCCTTTTTCAGAGAAGGTACCCTAGAGCCTTTCTGTTATTCCAAACACCTACAGGGTTAGACTGAAGAACTGGCATTGTCACATCTTTCCCATAACCTTTTTCTTTCCTAGAACTGTGTCTCAAGCCCACTTCCCACACAAAGAATAATTTAGCAAGATAAATGCAGAAAGTCAGTCAGAGCAATAAAAGCTTTACTTCTTTGTGGATAGGAGCCCACTGCAAGATTAGATTGAGGACAGGACATCTTTGGTTTTAATCCAGAACAGTATCATTCTGTGTCAGTAACGAGCTTGTCTGCCTTCCTCGGAGCTAATCCCAGCTTCCAAGGGTATAAAATTCAGCTCTGAAAAACACTTCACCGACTTGACCACTTAACTCTGTCCCTGGAGCCCTCGGGTTGCCTTCAGCAGGCAGATAGTATTCCTCACAAAAATGTCACCCACCTCCATCACTGCTCTCAGCAATATTCAGCTAGGTAATCACCAATTACTATGGTATTTTTGTTTTGTTTTTACCAGGCTCTCTTTGCCAACTACTCACAGTCCAGCACCAGCCATATATCTATGCCAGCTGGCTCTGATGCCCGCAAGACATCAAGTGCCACTTCTAGTATCCAGAAGGCAGCCAGTTTGCACAAAGTGATGCCATCCCAGAGTATGCCTTCTCAGCTGGTTCCAAAGCCTCCAGCAAACCACAGACAGGCACTGGTCAGAAAGGCTGCAGCCCAGAGGATTTCCAAGTAAGTTTTATCTCTTCCCATCCACAACAGGGAGTTGGCATTGGTTCCCCAAGGAAGCAGTATCGGAGAAGAACCTGTCTGCACATGACTGACACAGAACTTTTTGGCAATGCTGTCCAAAAGACTGTAACATCTTACAAACATAGGGACATAGGAACTGCCAGATTGAATCAGAACAGTATCTGATCCAGGGTTGGATCATTACCTAAATACAAGTTTCTAGTGACATTTTAGACGCTCAGGACTATTACACCTCCTGACCTACAGCTGCTGCTGCAGATGAGCACAAGTCTTCTGTAGATATTTGGTTGTATCTGCCAGTCCTGTGCAGATGTGTCAGATAACTTTAGAGTACCAAGGATGGTACTAGACATCTATATGTAGGCACTAGAGTCACTCCCTCCATGTTTAATCTTTTGATGGAGACTAGAATCTGGTTGGTCAGAAGAGGCTGCCAAAAGAAACCCCAGTATTCTTAACAAGCTAATCTGCCTTTGAGCCAAGTTTCCCCCTAAATTTAACACACGATTGACTTATGCCTTCAAGCATAAGTGTTTATTTCATTTGAAGTGTGTATATTGTGCCTAATGTAATGATAGCTTTTCTCATTATCTGTATAAATCCTGCTCTTAACTTTTACTAAGCTTTTAGTTATATAGTGCTTGCCATTCTAAGGATTTGGCATGTATTATCTTTAAAAACAAAAAAAAAAAAAGCACCATGAAATGGGTCTTGCTGATAGTAGGTTTCCTTCCTTTCCTTTTCTTGGCGTGTCTTCTCTTTTGTGCATTATGGGAGAGTGTGAGCAAGACTTCTGGGTTTTCCTCTTTACCTTTCTTGGTAGCTTCCTCAGCTTTCTGTTTATCTCCTCTTTAATGACAGAACGGCTTTAGACTAAAGCCTTCTTCAGGTTCTTCCTCATATAACCCCAGACTTGTTTCATTTCTGAATACCGAAGGGTAAAAACTGCATTCATAACTTCCTCTCTTATACTTACTCTACAGCCATAAGGGTTGTAAAGCTTTCAGAACAGGTTCCTGTGAGGATTCCCGATTCTGTGTTTCCCTTCCTGTTTAAAGAGAGAAGTTTTAGTAAAAGGTTACTGATGAAAGACACCAAATGAAGGTGCTGGGGGCACTGTCAGTGCGTGTGGGTCAAATCTGGAACTGTGAGGCGTATTTAAGGAGCTTGGACTGCACTGCTTTGAGGAAGCTTGTGTACTGCCTGCCTGCACTCTTGCTATCTTAAGAGATAGCACACTGAATTAATCCCCCAAACTATTTAAAAAGAAAACAACATGTAAGTAGACGTTGTCAGCTCAGCAGATGCAGATGTGAACCTGAGGTCTGGCAGGTATATGCTGGTGGGTTTGCTATCCGATTTCTTTTATGTTGGGTAGCTGATGTTAGTACAGGTGACAGGCTGTGTCAGTGGGTTTCTCTGCCGGGCAGCAAGGATGTGTATTTGAAGATGCCGGTGTGCTGTGCTCACTTCTTGGCAGAGGAAATGTTTATCCTTGTGAGATGGAATTGCAGCTCCTTGGACAGACTTTACTTTGCTGCATTTTTGTGGTTTCTGCTCTGTGACAGGCAGGAGTGTGGGAAAACCGGAAAAAGTTCAGCACCAAAAATGCACAGAAGGGGGGAAAAAAGCAAAAAGGCAAAAGATTCCTTCAGAATTTCAGAAAACTAATCCAAGTATTGAAGGCTGCAAGGAGCCACTCCGGAAATACTTTCCAAGTTGCCTTTCAGTCTCCAGCACAAGGCTCCAAACCCATTCTTGCCATTCATGGGATCTTGCAGTAACATTTTTTTCACTTACATGGAAAACAGCAGTGCCCAGCTATATTTCGAATGTACTGAGAGCTTATCGTTCTAAAACTCCTGTTTCTCAGTCTAACTTCATCCATTCATTGTTGCCAGGAAAAAAGACCAGCGATGCGTCGACGGGGGAGATTGAGTGGAGAGAAGCCTCTGTGTCAATGGAATAGAGATTAGAGAAGAAAAAGATGTCTTGCGTGCAGCCTGTTCTTTACTGTCCTTGGTTATTCCATACAAAGTATTCTCAGGCGCTGTGTGTAGTCTGCTTTCAAAAATCTCCAGTGCAGAAACCCCACCTTGTGCTATAGAAGAACTATTTAAGAATCTAGACAGCCTTATTACGAGAAAGTTTATCCTGATGTGCAATCTGAATTTTGCCTTTGTTTCACTTTGTTGTACCTTGTTCCACCTTCCTGAACCACTCTAAACGCTCTCCTTTGCAAATACTTTCCATCTTTTGAATATCCTTCTGTTTCTTGGAGTTTCCTAATGTTGCTTAGACTTGTTGAGGTTTTGTTAACCTCAGATAGTAGTTCTACCTGCCAAGTCCTTAATTGTCTTGAATTTACTGTGTTTTCTTCAGTCTATCAGAGTGCTTGCATTGTGGCACCCAGAACTGTTCCAGTGAGGGACTACCATATCCTTAGGTTAGGACATGGCTAATATCCCTCTCTATAACATCAAATCTAACTTTGGCTTTTCAGCTGCTTTATTTCACTGTTAGGTGTCTTCTGATTTGCTGACCACTTTCACCCCTTAATACTTGTTGGCTGTTTTCCTGATCTCTTTCCTCAGAGAAGATCTCAGCGCTATATATTATTTCCACAAGACTCACAGAAACTAATCCCACTCTGTTGTTAAAGCTCTCGTGTTTCTTTTCTTTTTTTCATATGTTTCAGTAAGTCAGGTCTTATTTCTCTGTCTGTCTTGCACTGCCTGGCTTTTGTTTAACATCTTAATAAAGATCATCTTTTTAAAGTTGTTTGAAGAATTTCTCCAGAGACTGGACTGTGAAGACAAACTCAAATCAACTTTGTCTCTTTGACCTATCTCTTCCTTGCATGCGTTATCGATTCTCTCCCAGCCAGCACACGTGGCTTCCAGAAGATGATGAAAAGAATAAGAAGTAGAAAACTCAACTACAAACAGAATGAGATGCTAAAGATGAACATTAATGACTAATTCAAAAACCATCTAGTAACTTGGACACTTCCCTGGTTAAAACATAAAGGAAAAAAGTAATCGAACAGCCAGACAATTCACTCTTGTCTTTTCAGTTCCTGGCCTCTCTTGTTTTCTCAGTCTCTCAACTTGTAAAAGGTGGTAGGTTGACTTTGTGATGGATTGTGGCCAAAGCAGACTCCTTGCTTAAGCTAACAGAGTGGAAAACTGGGGCCCATATTAAGGTGTGGAAAAAGACTAACTGGGAGAAATGGTTTAATATGTAGCTCTATGCTGAAACATAGCACCATAAAATGGTCTCCTGGGGCTCCACAGTTCTGATTAAATGTGCTCATATCACAAGTAGAAAGATAGTTTTTGAACAGCTAACACAGCACGGTCTTCTTTCTTTCCAAGCGTCAGACTGGGCCCTTTGCACTGCTTATGTTGCCACTACTATTGGCAGGTCTGTGAACCACAAAGAGACCTGCTGATAGCTGAGAGCAGCGTTTTGGGACAGAGATCACAGATAGAGTGTTTGAAAGCCATGGAATGAAGCAGATGTCCCTGGAAGCAGCATTTGGTGTACTGAATCTTCACGTTACAGATGACAGCATGCAAAGTAGAAAAGTACATTAGCTCAACTGGCAGAACACAGAGTGAACTGGTACAGGTGGTAGACAGAATATCTTTCTGCTTTTTGGAATGACTAAGTCACAATAAATACAAATGTCTGTTCTATCATTCCTATAGTAACTTTTCAGAAACCTGCTCTCTAACTATAACAGCATCAAGTAGGGCAAGGCCTTGAACAGCCTGTGAACAGAACTGTCAGTCAAAGAGAAGGTCTCAGAAAAATTCAGCTGTCAGTGTTAGACGACTGTATATACAGGGAGGAAATACCAGGTAGAAAAAAGGTTCAGGATGTTATCAGGGGGAGAGAGAGAGCCCAAGGAGATCACCAAGTTTACCAGCAACAGACTGGAACATCTCAAACTATTGACGATGTTCATTAACATGGCATAATTTCTTCTTCTCTATAAATATCATTCCCAACAACTCTATTCATGAAGCCTTTCAGAACAAATATTCCCTTCAAGTCCCAACACCACAGCACAAAACCTTTCTACCTTGTTCTTCTTTTGTACATTTGCTTCGCATGGTGCCGGCAGCAGAAGGGCCAAAGTTCTGCTCTACTGTAACATGTACAGAAATAGGGTAGAGGTGATGCATTTCTCCAGGGTTCAGGAAATCCACATCATGGCAGGGTGGAGTCCTGACTGCAATTGGATACGGCAGTAGCCAGCTGTTTTAGGACAGGCTGGCCACGCCTGGCAAATGTGCTGAAAGTAGAATGATGGCCACAGAGTGAGCCCTATAAAACTCTACGGTTCTGGTTTTGATCCTGCCTTGCCCGTGTGTGCTTACTCATAGGCATGCGTGAAGTGTCTTAGTGAGCCGGGTACACCATGCGTGCAAACTGAGCGCCCACTGGAAAGAGGATGGGCAGCAGGAGAGCAAGCATGCAACTGTTACTGGAACCCCTTTCACTTTTTTGCTACTGCTGTACCACGGCATGCTTGTTTTTTTAGCTCCTGAGCATCTGGGTTAATCAGGCTGCCTGACCCTTAGACATTTTTGGCAGCAAAAGCAGTGCATCTGAGAGACGTGCCTTGATTTAACACCCTGACACAGCTGGGCTCACTAGGCCTGCAGCTCTTAGCCCTTGGCTAGCCTCGGATCATACACACAGATACACATGCAGAGATACCCTCTCCAAGAGCAATAGAGAGGAACAAGCTTCTTTGGCTCTGGGTCTTCACATCTGTTACTGTCCTCTTGTCAAATGTGAGCTTTTTGTGATGTGAATTTGGTAGTGTCAGTTCTGTCCCCCTCCCCCCGGCCCATTAGTTGCGTTCATAGCATCTCATGAATAGGTTTTTAAAACAAAGTTGTTCAAAATTTAGTCAAGAAAGTATTTCTTTGTCACCTGTGGAACAAGAGCAGCCTCCAAATTTGCAGTCCAAGGCTGGGGACCTTAGGGCTGGTGCATAGATGAAGTTGGTATCAGTTTCAAGGAGGGATTAGCTGTATGAGAGGGCTAAGATCATAGAATCACAGGATGGTTTGGGTTGGAAGGGACCTTAAAGATCATCTAGTTCCAACCCCCCTGCCTGATATTGTATAAAAGTACAATGACAGATATTGAAGTGGAAGGGACGGGGGGACAGTGGCTTTTTAGCATTGTAGAAGAAGAAACGGAGAAGATAACAATGGATTGCATTGGAAGAGTGGAAGCAAAACCCACAGAGACTCTTAAAAGCAGGAAACTGAGAAAGGCCATAGGGTTTCAGCCAACCCAAGGAGGAAAAAGTGGAAAGGGTCTAACTCAGTTTAAGCAGTGAATCTGTTCTGGCACTGCAGCTTCCATCAGGATAGCAGAGAGAACTTGAGGGCTGAGCTTAGCGTGGTGGGAGATCAGTGACCCAGAAGCAGATTTGAGAATGAGCTGTGTGGAGGTGACAGTGGAAACTGCAAGAAGCAAGGTACACTGTGGGTAGGCAGAAAAGAAGAAGGGCAGGTCTGTAGAGCAAAAGAGATTGTCTAAACATAAACCACACTTTAAGGCAGAAGTATGACTGTTCCCTGGTGGGTGTGTGGGTTTTTTTGTTCTTGTACTTGCTGGCATTCTTGATGGCATTTTCAACCACTAGTCTTGCATTCTACCTGCAGAAGGGTGAGCTGAATTTGGCTGTCAGTTGTGCTGTGTTAACAAAGCTAATTGTGAGTGTGGAAACTGTGTAAAAGCATAAAGATCCATCTGGATTCTCAGCTCCCAGAAGGATGGTGCAGTATCGGCAGCAAAAGAAACCATAAGTACAGATCCAAAATTCTCTCCAAGAGGCAATAAACATAGAAACAGGCACCTCATTTGACAAAAGCATTTCAAATTATGTCTGACTGAAGTAAGGGGTTGTGTTTTGCAAATGTCATATCTGCATCCCTCTCCCTTCCTGTATGGACTCCATTTCACTGAAGTCCAACTGAGATAAAATACAGGAGTCCCTCACTGGCCGTTTAGCTGCCAGAGCACCTGGGTTACTGGCAACTTATGGATTTTGATGTTGGAAAGCAAAAGGTTTCAGACAAGATGATAGAAACTGCACACGTGTGCCTGGGTCTGTTAGTCATCACGGCATCACTCTGGGATTAGAGATCACAGCGCTCTTCTGGGGAAGAGCTCGCAGTGACTGGGTAACACTGCAGAGCGGAAGGAGTGAAGGAGGGCTCTGGCAGGGAGACAGAAGTGTACACGTAGAAGTCTGGAGTGTTGAGTTGGGCAGGAAGGAAGGAAGGCAAGGAGAGATAAGGGAGGAGAGGACAAACCAGGAATAGATGGATGAATTGTATGGATTTTAAGAACAGAAGACCTAATTGCAGCTGTATAGCTTGACCTTACCTTGTGAATAGACCCATGTTCTATTTAGGAGGGCACGGTCTCAGTTTGGTAATGAATCTTCAGAACAGTTAAAGGAAGTGCAGTTGTACTCCACAGAATATAGTTTTGCTGTAACTCAAATGCTGAGATAAATGCAGGAGGATTTGCATAAAGTGTCTGCTTGAGGACTGGCACTGGACTACTGGAGATTAAATGCATCCTGTGGGTCTCGGTTTCCAAGACAAGTGAGGAAATCTTGCCTAAATGAGCTGTCTCTGCTGAGACAGGATGCAAGGACTTGACTTTTGGCTGTAGCATGTTTTTGCCAGCATGTGCATTTCTGGTTTAAGGTTGCTTAATCGTTTTACTTCTAATCAGTGGAATAAGGTGACCACAGCATTACTGGTTGAGTTGTGCTTTGGTAGTCCAACACCATTTACTAGCTCCTTTATGCTGCAGAATCAGCTTCCAAGGCATGTGGGACAATTAAGTGTTTTAGGTGCATCAAAATCTTGCTGGTGGCTTGAGTGTTCACCTCTCTTGCTCTGCCTTTTTGGAGTTGGTTGCCATCACTGCTTTTTTCATTCCATGTTCAGGCACAGCTTCAAAACTACAATCTCAGTGAGATTATGTAAACTAGGAGAACTGTCTATTTTTTGTTTGAGACTATTATTCTTCCTCGGTATATCCCTTCTTATATCTCCCTCATTTGATGTTTTGACCTGTCAGGGTGACCTCCACTGAAAGGCAACTGAATGGATTCCTGAACAGCCTTCACAGTGCTGCATCCTGTGAGCCAGGGACAAATTCCACAGGTGAGTGCCAGTGCCGAAGACCAGGGAAGTGGGGCTGGGCATGCTGGGATGCTTTCATCTTTCTCAAGATCTGGCAGGGAAAGACTTTCTCAGCAAGAAGAAGAAACGCAGCTGCCTACCCTGCGTGTAGTGGTTCCTAGGTAACGGTCTGGGTTCAGCTGTGCAGGGAATTTATTCCTCCTGGGGATTAAAAAGACTAAACAGAAGGGAGCAAAGGCTGAGTTTCATAGAGTTGGAAGAGGAAGATCCCTAAAAATGTGGCTGGGAAAAAAAAAACTTGGCTAAAATGGCTCCCCTTTGCTTTAGGCTTTGGCTCAAGGATGCTCTGTTGTTTAAGCTTGGCCTGTAATAAAGGGCCAGGACATTCTTTACATTTTTCTTCAGCGTTGCAGAAAAGCCCCTTAGTTCAAAAGACATAGTTGAGACTTGTGAATCGGCTGCATAGTGAAGTCAGTCGGTAAAGGTGAAAGTTCCCAAAGGAAAATCACTGAGACCTACAGGGTCAAATCTTCGCCATTCCCTAGTGGCTAATTAATTCGAACAGATTTATCTGCTGTGATTGTCTCAGTAAATGAAGAACCAATCCATTTTTCATCAGTGCAGACCTATTGGCAAGTAGAGTATAGTCTCGATGAACCCTGTGGGCCATGTTACCCATGGTCCACAGTAATTTGTGAAGGTGCTGTAATGGAATATATGGACAAATTATCGTCTAGAATGCTTTAAAAAAAAAGTTTCTGACCTTTTGTGTTGCTGTGAAAACTCTGAAAACATGACTTGAGCATCACAACTGGAGTGATCTCTGTGTTTTCACAGGCTGAAAGAGAAGTTTGCATAGAGGTCAACTACCCAATTTATCTCTTGGGTATTTTAGCACTGAAACTTAAAGATGACATTTCCATTATTAATGTCAGTGATCTTACTGCTGATCCTCTAGCACAAACATTCAGCTAATGCACTTACCGTACAGTTCCAAACTGCCTCCTACGCTTTACCACCTGCCAAAACCTCCAATTATCCTACCAGAAATTTTAGAGGGTGAATAAGCCATAGTCAATAAAAAAGACCCTACAGCACACTGGAACATGACCGTATAGGAATGGAATATAACGGGATGATCAAAATCAATAAAATTATATTGACACCATAGTATATGTACAGTTGAGGCAAAAGTTCTGGTTACTGTATAGTTCAAGTTGAGTTTTTAGTACAGTATATAAAGCAAGGTTACACACGAGTTTACAAGTAAATGTAAAAATGGAGTTCTCAGTATATTGCCCAAACTGGTTTGCAGAGTGGGCTTACATGAAGGTGTTTGTGTGCTGAATTCTGCCACCTTTTTCACAGCTTTGAGAGCATTCTCACGGTTGCCACTCTGTAATTTTAACCCCTTCAAGAGATTCTCTCCATCTCCTCTGGGTACTGTTGTTATGTGTGCCTATGACAAGTGTAGGTAGGATTTTACATCCTTCCCTGTTTCTGTGAATATTTATGCAGAGCATACGCGAGGATTGTTGATAATATTAATAATGGAAGGCAACAGCCAGAGCTGCTGGAAGAATACAGGCTAGGTAACAGCTACGAAGTCCAGGGTAGTCACCCCCTCTGGGAATACTTGTAATCCAGTGAGACCTGCGGACTTCAGCTCATGTTTCCTTCTGTAGGACTCGGCTGGCTGCGCTGTACTAAACTTACCCTCTCTCAAGCTGAAACAAAGGGTTTAGCCTGCCATTTAGCTAAAAGTGCAAGGGCTTAGACAGAACCTTTGGCTAGGGGTAGGCTAGCAGAACCACCGTGGGTGTGTCACTCAAAGCTTCCTCGTCGCCAGAAGAGGTGGATAGCTCCAAGAACAGTGCTAAGTATCGTGGTGATTGAATTAACTAGAGCAAAATGTTTGTTCTTGGAAACTGGGGAAGGATATTTTCTTCAGCTTTGCACCAAGCCACTGGTATGCGTCAGAGGCTGCTGTGCCCAGTCTGTGTGTCTCAGAAACCACTCTGGTCCTTCCTGCAGGAACAGCTGGTTTCCTTCTTCCCTCTCTCCATTGATTGCTTACACTAGGGCCCTGATTTCCCTCATCAGCAGCTTATTTGGGGTTACTGTTTCACATGTATTTAGTATCCTAGATACCAGCTAGAGGGGCTGGAGACACAAGTCATAAAGCAGATTACAGAATAAACTGCAAGCATTTAAAGATAGAAGGCTGTGAAAAGTTGCAGAGATAAAAGAGGAACCAGGCAAAACCTCTGTATAAACGTGCACACGAATGTTCAAAAATGTCTGAGGAGCCTGAGTAGACCTTCTCCTCTAACAGCCTACCCCAGGACAGCTATGGAGCTCTGCAGGGAAACAGCATATAGGTGTCACAGATGATCTAACCAAGAGTAAGGATGATGCTCCAAGGAAGAGAGAGGCAGTATGGAAACTTTTAACCAGATTGTCCAGAAAACAGTTCACTGGTGGTTAGGACTGCAGCTAGAGGGGAATACCGGTTGTAGATACTGTTGTGCGGCGGACACAAGCTCTTGAGGACAGATCTCTGGAGATGAAATAAAAATGAGAGTGTAAGTCAGCATTTCTGCAAAGCAGCTCAGGATTCTGAAACAAGCCACTAGTACAAGGAAAGTGTGGCAGCCTCTCATCCTCACCCCCATTTCATGGAGAGGCAGAACTTCTGTGTGCCACTGGCATAATGTGAGAGACAGAGATTCTCATGACAGGGAGCTAAATGTGCAAACTCCTCATTTGGGGGTTATTTGTAGAGGCTGAACAGGCAAAGTTCCTGAGAGTTTAACAGGATTTATTCTATTAAAGAAATACTAAGCATTACTACCTTTAGGGAACATTCAAAATGCTTCTGACCTGATTTTTCACTGAAATTGAACACTCAGCCACTAGTGGGTTGGCAGTTATTCTGAAAATACAGCCATTATCACATTGCTTTTTTATGGTGTTACTTTGAAGGTCCCTCAGCATTACACCAATTGTTTCCTGCTTCGTAGTACTTAGAAATTCAATTAGTATTAGTGAAATAGTGTGATTGTGAACTAAGAAATCAATTCTCTTCTCCAAGTCTTCTCCAGAATGTAGCTTGCTGAATAACAGCTAAGCTAAGTAGCGGGGTGGGTTGCTGAGTTCCAGGTTGTCTTTATGAGGCTGTGTTTGATATGGTGAGTTCAGATGATGGAGGAACTTAACAGGCTGGTAACGGTTTTTTTACCATATATATTAACAGTGTAAGGCGTATAGAGACATTTTGCTGGGTTATTTTCTGTTCCTCTGTAGTGGCATTAGGTGAATAGTGCATGAATTCTTTTTCTCAAGGAAGTGTGAAGTTCTAGGTAAAAAAGGTGGTGTTTTTCCACCAGAATTTACCTTTTGAACAACCGTCAAGAAACGTCAAGGAAGTTCTGTAGCTATTTGGAAGACCCCATAGTTAGAAATTTATAACATGGTTTATTCCTCCTTTTTGAAAATGCTAACACAAAGCAGGTTTTAGGGAGAAGAGAGGGTGAAGGGCTCTCTGTGAAAATGTAATGGCTTAGTCTCAGGCAGCGTCTTGGTTCCCGAGCTGGACTCTTGTCTGCAAGAGCCTGGAGACAGGACCAATCTGAAATTCTAGTTAACCCCTCAAGTGCACTTGTGGTGTGGAGGCACAAGGGGATGACCCCAGCTGATTTTATTTGGTTTGGTTTGATTTGTAAAGGTAACAGCAACCATGAGTGAAATCAGTCTTTGTGCTTCTCAAGTTTGCTGTCGACTCCTTGAGAGCTTGTGAAATTTTTATTGTAAAAGCTTCAGAAGGCAGAATGCCTCTGGGGTTTTGTTCTTCTATGGCAAAAATATAATGTGCTAGTAGCCTATATATAATTACAAAAAAATATGAAGCATGATTAAAACTGAGCAAGACTGATGCCTGGCTCCAGACTTGACAGGACTTTCACCTTTTCCTGCTCAGACTGATTAACAGTGATGCAGTTTTGTTGTGCCCAGTGTTTATATTACTAGTGTCTACCTCAATTTTCCACTACGTGTGCTGGAGAAAAAAGCATTACAGTTACCAATTAGGGGAGGTAAAAGTTAGTAATATGCTGTCTGAGTTTGACAGCAGTGAAGACCACTAATTCATGTGAATTCATACAGAAGGTCAATGTCAAAACTCAGCCTGAAGCTAGGGAGGAAACTTCCTGAGCCTAGGTGGTATAGACTTGATTTTATTCCCCGTGGTTCCCAGGTCTGTGTCTGACCATGATGCCGTTGTGTCTTTAATTTGGACATTTACCTGGTCCCCATATCTGCATGCATATCAGGTCCTGAAAGTATGCAACTCTTTGAAATAAAATATATAATCATCTGTAAGCGTTTAAAACTGGATCCTGAATTGCCAAGAAACTAGTTAAGAATCTGGGGTTTAATAAGATGGTTTGATCTAATCCATGTAGGAGGCAGGCTGCTGTTCTTAGCTTTCCAGTGATTTCCTTCTTTAGGCTAAGGTGGAGAGCAGTGTCTGAACACCATCCAAATCAATGAATGAACAAGTAGTGGGATCTGGTGTAGAGCAATGAATGGCACCTGCTTGCAAACTAGAGATAGTAAGGAGCACTTCTGCAATTACTATTCTCTGTATCTAGCACGCTCCAGATTTTTTTCATTTTACAGAAATCTACAGGTAGAATGTGTATTTCTGTATATTCAAGATTATTGTATGGTCCTTCATAAGAAGGTCATGTATGTCTTGCTACTGGAGACCTGAAATTAGCATTAATGTTGGAGGTGCTAAGCTGTGACTGGCTGTTGTCTACCCACTGCTTGAATTAACATTATTTCTGAAATGCAGCCTCTTTTATATAAGCTTAAGGAAAGAAAAGAGTCTTTTAGCAGATATGCAAAAGTACAAGCTTCAAAATTGTCCTACACTAGCAAAAGAAAAAGAAAAGAGGGGCCAAGTAAACACAACAGGCATTTAAACCAGATGCATGCAATCACTTTGTATTGTTTTC